ATCCGCTTACATTGGCTGTTGCCAAACCAGCTAAGAGCAAGAAAAATGCCCCGGTCACACACGGATCACTGCTTCCTTTTCCGCTGAGAGATGTGTCCCAGCGAGATGTGAGTGCGCCACATTTAAAGGGAACGAGAGGAGCCGCTTTGATTGGCTGCAAATGAGTCTGTGTTCACGCCCACAACAGCGCAAACAGCCAACTTTGAAATACGCTTTCCCTCACCGTGTGAGATTAGCAACACGTCAACATCCCCGTACAGATTTATGCTGTGTGCCAGGCTGGAATTGCGTCAATCGTGCAAATAAAACTTTCAGTGGCTCGAAATAGAAGCATGGCAGAAAAAATAATTGCGTAAACAAAGGAGTGCAACTTACAATGAGAAGTGGCATGACCTCCACTTTGAATGACATTGCAGTTTTCTGTGCAATCTCTACCCAGTGAGACAATTGTGTATTGTAAAATCATGTCGTTCAAGTCCAGGTCAACTGCACTCTCATGAGTACTTAGTCCAAGTCAAGTCTTTCATAAGTTTCAGCCAAACAAGTCTGAAACACGGTGACATAAGTTCAAGTCATGTGACTCAACGCTAATGCCCGCCATCAATGCCTCGTTATCAGCCTCTGCCACGGCAGCGGATGACGACGACGACGACGGCTGACTTATGCGAGAGGCGAGGGGCTATCTGCTGGCATAGCGGGAGACAGGTAACATTTAACACCATCCAGACGCCCCCACCCCCAAACCCCACACGCTTTCTCTTTATGACTGCAGAATGCGGCCACATTACGAGCCAAAGAGAAGCGATTGGATCACAAATTAAAACCCTTTCAACCCAAGCAGATGGCACTGGGGGTGGGGGGGGGTTAGGGGGGGTTGATAGGGATGCTGGGAAAATGAAGAACACAAGAGAGCATTGTTGCACTGGCGTGCTGGTGTCAAGCCAACGACAGCTACACGGTAGCGAGACAAGGTCACGAAAGAAAGATAGAGGCCGCCGATATGCTCGCACGCACACTCGGGTTTGATGGCTCTTCACTTTGTGAGCCTCCGTTTTGTTATCTGTGATTATTGCAGCAGCTTGGTCATTACAGTCTGCTGAAAAAAAAAAAAGTCTTTTGAATTTCCTCATTTGAAAATTCACATTGACTGCGCATAATTCAAATGTGTTATTCTAATACCGTATTTTCCGCACTAAAAGGCGCCCCAAAAAGTCTTCCGTTTTCTTCAAAGCTCACAGCTCGCCTTAAAATCCGATGCGCCTTGTGTATGTTCGTTACGGGAATATTTCGACCCCAAAATGGCTCCTCGCTCGAGACATGCTGACGACGCAGAGATCAAACTTAAGGCGATCGGTTACGCAGTTGAATACGGAAATAGAGCAGCGGCAAGAGAGTTCAACGTTAACGAGTCAATGTTATAACTTGCTGTTGGTTAAGTGAACTGTGTCGCTGCTTTATTAAATACGTTTTACTGACATCTGATCGTTCTGTTGGTGTTTCCTTACGCGTAGCTCCATCTAGTGGATGCATTGTAGATTGCGTCTTATAACACAGTGCGCCCAATGTATGAAAAAAAAGAGGCCATTCATTGAAGTTGCACCTCATAATCCAGTGCGCCTTTTAGTGTGGAAAATACGGTATATATTTTTTACTTATCGGAAAGGGAAAATATACATCAGTTTACCACAATTTGTTACATCCGTCTATCTGTACTCGTAATTAAGTACAGAGCGTGAGTACTTTGGACACCGCCATTGATTGAGGGACTCAATTATGAAGTTGGTGGCGGCAACGTGATGGATTGAAGCGTTCCCGATGAATTGTAACAAGCACACAAATACGATGAACAAAAGGGTTCGACGTACATAAAGTCATTCCTCCGGGTATCGCTATTAGGGCGTGCTGAGAACACCGGTGAGATAATGAAAAGAATATTGATTGAATGATTTGCTGCAGCTGGAATACATGTACCACCACCAGCGGCGTGTCGGCTGATATCATTATTACACATCAATGCTCATCACGATTGCGCCTGAATATTAACTATAAAGAAGAAGTCATGTCACCTCCATGAATGGGCATCTGACCTCGTACACGACGCTTTTTGTGTTATATAAATACGGTTCGGAAAATGAATTTTATTTACCGTAATTGAATTTAAAAAAAATGATTTTAAAAGTCATCCATGCGTCCATGATGGTATTGATTAATTCGCAATAATGCCACCAATATGACCTCAGTGGTTTTTATTATTATGATTATTATTTTATTTTTTATTTTTTGAAGACCAGACACTACAGGGCAACTTCCGGGCTTGAGTCAGGACTTGACGGTGCTTGACTTGAAATAAGTGGTGACTTGACTGCGCCCGAGGCAAAATGACTTGCTCCATACTTGAAGCTGACGACTTGAAAATGGCACATGTGATCTGACCTCCATCTCGGCGCAGGAGTTCCTGAGACCTTTTTGCGGTTGAAATCATGACAGACATGTCGACCAATTTCATGCTACTAAGAGAAACCGGCTTGGATTGGCAAAAGATTCCTGGGGGGGTGCTATTGGATCATTATTTTAAGGTAGCAGGCAAACTGAAAAGTGTTTCAGTGGAATGCAAGCAGACTTTTGTGCATTAGCATGTGTGCGTGCCTGTAGTATGTGCGCCTGAGTGTAGAAATAAGTCAGTCTCACTTTACTTAGTGCTGTCTAATGCGTGTAACGTTATTAATATTTGATATCAAAGAGGAGATTTGATTTAATCTCTTGCACACAGGAAGTCTTTTTTTTTTTTAACTTTTACTTCAGAGGCTTTGGGAGATCTGACGCTCTTTTCCTCTGTCACCGCTGTTATAGTGTCTCTATTTTTTATTTATTTATTTTTCTAAAATCAAACGCAGAGGCAAAAGAGACATGAGGGGCGTTTCGGAAGGAAGCGTGTAGCCGCAGTGCCACCAATGTGCAAAGATCCCAAGCTAACTTTGACATGAATCATTTGTTCAAAGGGCCTTTCTACCAACTGATCCGACATATATTGTTTCCAAACTTTAATTAAAGCTGAAGGCGGTAATGAGTGGGCCTTTTTTTTTTTTTATTTTTTAAAAGACACGTTTCTAAAATTGATCAACAAACTTGCTGAGCCCACATTTAATGGCAGGCACCAAAACCAGGAAGGAACTTGTCAAAGTATGAGGGCTGTCATCTGCACAAAATGGCAACTTCTAAAGCAACCTTTTTGGCTTTCTGTTCCATTTTGGGCATGAGTTCTTGCCACTTGTTCTCGTGTCCTGTTATGATGGAAATATCCGCTCTATTTCGCATCGATGCTCGTCAGGTGTCACGAGGGAAACGACAGATTTATTATTCTATTTTTTTAGCAGTAAAATACATTCGTTGTCACCTTATGCGCTGGCAAGCAAAAACATGCACAGATTCACTTGGGGAGCGCAAAAAAAAATCAAGTGTGAAAACATTGTTGTGCTTGTAAATTGCAGCCTTTGTGAATTATTTGTTCATTTTGTTTCATGTTAATGGGAGATAAATGGTGCGCGGCATGACATCAAAAGACCCCGCTCATAAACTGCGAGATAGCTAAAGGGCGCCAAAGACGAAGTCACTGTTTTAGATGGCGGAATAGTTTCTCTTTTGCAGATATTTGAACTTGAGCGTTTGAGACGATTGCGCAGCTGGGACTAAAAACAACTTTCCAGGGCAGCTGGAGGTAAAGAGCTCACGGTGATATCCAAATCAAGTGCAACAAACTGGGTCACAGATAAAGGTGTTTGATTTCTCAATGCAGGTAGTGAGTCAAAAGATGCCAAGCTGGGCTCCGAATGATCGCGCAACCTCATTAGTGCGTTCACGGCGCCATGCCAAAATATGCCGCCTTCCGTGTGTTAAAGGGAAGTCGCCTTAAAAAAAAAAAAGCAGCCAGTAATTTCCTGTGATGTAAAAGCATCTGCTGTCATTTAATGTAACTTCATCAGTGCTATATTTTGCATTTTTGTATGGCACCGTAATTTTATGGTGAATGTTGGTAATTCATTTTGACTGTACAGTATATGACTGCAATTTGGATTACCGTGCACATTAGTGGGATGACTGTCCATTATAGAGCCAGTTGAAAATTGTTTCTCCACAGAGCATTCAGTTCTGCTATTTTTTTTTTCATTCAGACAAAGAATCATCTTTATGATCAGGAAAACAGTACATTAATGTCGTGTGTATAAATTTGGCCTTGGGGGGGTTGGGGCGGGGCGGGGGGGGGGACTGGCGGGAGGTTGGGCTGACTTCAGTGTCGTGTCCGTCCCTTGCCCAAGAACACCACAGCTGTGGGCCTGTTGGATGGTTCATTGCTACATCCGCTCAAGCTCCGTTCAGACTTGAAGTCTGACAATAAACTTTTCGTTCACTTTGGCTTGACTTTTCATATATGTTACATCCGTGTCGTGTCTTCTTGTGCTTCTTGTGCAAAGAGCACTGACTCTGACAGATCACAGAGCCATCATTTTCTATTTTCCATCCATCCTTCCATCCATTTTCCGATCCACGTATCCTCCCAAGGGTTGCGGGGGGTTGCTGGACACCACGGTGGTGAGATTCAGATTTTACAGGACAGTTTTTGGAGGGTGAAATATGGCATGACATGAATATTGGTTGTTTTTAAACTAGAAAATTGAACCACCTCATTGGCAAAAACACTTTGGGGTTAGGGGGGAATGCATGTGTGTGTGTGTATGGGTGTGTGGGGAGGAAGGAGGGGATGATGGCGGGGCCACCCTTGAATAAAACTTCAAAATTGCGTGCTCATCAGCCATTACCGTTTAACAATAGCAAAGTTAACGACACCGTCAATTTAATCTCTAACCCGCCGTTTTGTCAAGAGCCTTATTAAGCAGACTTGTGAAGGCTGTCGGTGTGATTGGGACAAATAAAGTCATTTTAAAGCACTTGGCCTCATCTTCATAAAATAAGAATTAAAACATTTTTGTTGTTGTTGTTTACAGCCATAGCTCGAGGGCAACCCCTGCAGGCGTGATGCTAAAGGAGCTGACAAGTCGTCAAATGATTCTCCAAATTCCTCCTCGCTTCTGATCTCGTAAATCAGCACCACTATTTGTGTCGACGCTGGCGGCTCTTTAATTGCAGCTGATATGTGCACACACACGTCTCGTCAGCCTTTTTTTTTTTTTGTCATACAGTCATCGCCCAGAGTCATATGTGCAAAAAAAAAATTAAAAATGAAAACATAGCCCTCAAGCATTGTGCCACACTTCACAAGCCAATTTATTTTTGTAATCATTTGTGTGTGTGTGTGTGTGTGTGTGTGTGTGTGTGTGTGTGTGTGTGTGTGTGTGTGTGTGTGTTTTCTTAACTAACATCCATCCACCCATTTTCCAAACCAAACCCTTCAATCTGGTTTAAAATTGTAACCCTGGATTGAAACCCCGAATCTGATTTGGAACGCTGACCTTAACTGATTGAAAGCATACTTTGAAACCCTAACCCTGTCTTGAAACGCTAATTTGAATCCCTACCCATGGCTGAGACCACAGCCTGCAACTCCAAACCTGATTTGAAAACTTACCTTGAACAAGAATCTACTTTGAAAGAATAACCGTTGTGTTAATCCTAATTAGAATGCCCAAATCTGTTTTGAAATCCAAACCTGAAACTGTAAATCTAGTTTCAAACCCCGACCAGTGATTGAAACCCGAAGATCTAACACTAACCTTGGCTTGACACCCAACTGAAAACCCCTAACCTTGAACCCTACACCTGGTTTGAAAGCTGAAATCTTGGCTTTGAACCCCAATTTGAAGTACCAAGCCTGACTTTAAAATTTGGGCACTATTCTCATAGACAGCACACACAAACAATTGGGTGTGCTTTGGTAGATTCCAAGTACCCACTTCACCGTGCAGACCAATTCAAGACCCCAATGTGCTTGCTTCGCCCATCTCAAAAACCAGTTGCCTTCACAGTAGTTGTGATCACTCTCACAAAAGCGCCACTTTGTGAGAGCCCCTCAGTTAAAAACCCTGGCCCCAGCCAGGCCCCCTCAGTGAAATTGGTCTAGAACCGCCACTGAAAAATGTAGACCTCCCTGTCTCAGGGCCGCAGGCCTGCAAAATGACCAACACCAGGTCTAACCTCCAGTTCACAAAAATCTAGCCCCTTAAATGCAACCTTTTTGAGGCCCTTACCTTGGTGTAAAACCTTTGCTATAAAAAAACATTTCATGAATGTATGGAGAACAGTCAAATAAAAAACAAAGTACGGTTGTCTTAGTTCGCAGTACAAACGTTGAGAAAATGTCAGTTTGTCAAAAACGAAGAAATGTGACCACGAGCAGGACTGGAAAACGCTGCATTTAGAATGTTGAGCAGCCCCCCCCCCCCCAATGCATTAATTCACTTCCTTTGTGGGAGCTCAGGTGCGCTCTGCGGTGACTTGGCTTCGGCCCTGTTTAAACGTATCCACGGGTTCTTGAATGCTCCGCTTTATGTCTCCCCGCCGCCTCATTTGGCTGCAAGGCGGCAGCTCGCTTGTTGCCCTTCGCCATAGCCGGTGTCCAATTCCATCACTGGCAGCATCAGATCGACTTTTATTTTTTTTATGGCGTTTCTCCCTTAAATCTTACGTCCCGACTGCTTCTCTCCAGATGGCTGGTGACGGCTGTAAAAGCTCGTCGCAAGGCTTTGACCCGCCCTATGCCAACCCCTCGCCACCTCACCCCCACCGCGCCAGTCCACCTGCAACCCGCTGCCTTCTTCTTGGCCTTCCGACAGGCCCGCGTTTCGCCGCTCTCCACGGCTGATGTGGGCCAGCCGATAACAGTCTCTTTTATGTGTCGCTTAGCAGCACAAAGGGAGGCGCCCCATTGATCAAATACCAGAAGCTCAACAGGCTGCTTTGCTTTTTTTTTTCTTTTTTTTTTTCTCCACGACAGCACCAGCCGAGGGAACACATGGAAGAAGGGAGTTGGGCGATTCAAGTACCAGGCTTCGACTGACACTTTGTTTCCATGCTGAAAAGAGCTGGAAAACGTTGCTGTCTGGAGCTCACAAAGCGTGTGAGTGTGTGTTTGTGTGTGTGTGCGTCAGGCGTGTCAGCAGCACGGAGGAAGATGGTATACACTTATCAGCCAGTAGGGGCCCTAAAAAATCAAGTCGGTCCCGAACCTGTCCTGAAAGCCTCGTTTTAAAATGTAACCCCTTGTTTGAAACCCCGATTGGAACTCTTGAACCTGTTTCAAAACAAGACTTTACGTTGATCTCATCGGCGGACATTTTTCATTTACATGTAAAATCGGTAATTGGTTGTAATGTCATCATTTGGCGACTGATCGAAGCCGCAAAATTAAACATTAGTCTTGTTCACTGAGGAGAGGTTCTGTGCTGCCATTAGTAATCCCAGGTATCTCAGATTTTTTTTTCCTGAATTTTTTTTAATGATTAGTTCTTTTTTTTGGGGGGGGGTGTATTGAATGTCTATCAGCGTTTTTGTTTTTTATTGTTACACACAAAGGACAAAAAAAATATTCCGCATAATTTTTTTTAAACATCAGATGTCACCACAAACCCTGGCAACAGAGCCACCTGCGAGTCAATCGATACAAAAGGTGAGAGATGCTTACCACAAGCAGAGCTGATCAAAATGGCATCAGTGATGTGACCGAAAAAAAAAGATATCCAATTAATTTATTTATTTGAAGAATATTTGGAGCTAAAACCTTTTTTTTCCCGCAATGCATATCAGTGGATCGCAGTTGGCCAACTGGACAGTGAATGAACAAGTTGTTAGAGATAGATTGGATATAGATTGGTCCATCTGATCACATTGGTGATCAGTTAGTTTTCTTTTTTTTAACTAATCAATTGATGTCACATTTCCTGATCGTGTAGAGCCTATTTAAAATCCTTTTTTGAAACTGCACCGCAAATCCCTGCTTGTCAACACATAATTGGCTTGAAACCCAAATTTGAAACCCTGACACTGGCTTGAAACCCTGATTTGAAAACCTAACCTTTGTTTGAAACCCAAACTTGAAATGCAGTTTGTCGATGGACAGGAGGCCAAAATGCACAGTCACGATGGAAATCCTCCATGCAAATACATGCTAATGGGCTCCCGCAGATTGCCGACAGAATCCTCCCCCTCCATGTTTCAGTCACCGAACTTGTATTTGATGTTCAGTCATCCTGAAGGTAACCTTCCATGTTGTCTCTCCTACTTCTCACCATTTTGGTGGCAACAGTCCCTCGCCGCCATGCCTCTGCCGCTGCGCCTCGGCTCACCCGGGCTGTCACCTGTCAATCAAACCACAGCAGCGCCCATGACCCTCCTTGTCCTTGGACTTGACGAGCAGGATGGAAGTTTTCCAGCACAGTTGATTTGTTTTCACCTGAAGCAGCAGCAGCACAAATGCTTCCCCCTCACTCATCTCTCTCTCTGTTGATGTTATGGAAAAAAAAAAGAAAAAAAGCTGGACTAAAATAACACAAGGACGTGTGTGTGCCCACATCTAGCACCGCTAATTCCCCAGTATTGGCGGTACTTCTGGGCCTTCGAGCAAGAGCCTCTTCTGGGCTCATTGGTGGACGTTCAAGGAGGCTCTTCAGCCTTTGAATGCTCCACACGGGTGCAGAGACAAAGACCGAGAGCTATGTAGAGATGCGCTTAGTGGAGACGGGGCTGTGTGAATTCGTGGAAGCCTCGCCTCATTTCTCAGCATCCTTTTGTCAACGTAACATTGTTTGTTAGCTGGAGGAAATCACACTTCGGATGTAACTCTTGTGAAAAACCTCATTCAGAAGCCTCACCCCGGCTGAACGCTCCGATTCGTAACCCAAACCGTGGTTTGAAACACCTTGACCTACAAGTTGATTTTGTTCCATGAAAACGACCGGCACTCAATTTATTCATATCAAATAAATGTTCCCAACTGAATTTAAGTGAAAAGCCATAAATCTGTTCCACCACATTATTTTATTTCACGACATGTTTTAAAATGGCACTGTTATTGCGGTTTACTGTGCGTCGTACTTAACAGACCATTACCAAACAGTAAGATGAGAAGAGAAGCATCTGTCTCCGCAGCTCAACATTGCTTTACGGAGCCTTTTTCCCCCCCCCCCCACTCCTCCCCCCACAAGTCCCAAGATAGCCCTTTTGCTGGACACAATATCCGTCCATTCATTTTCAGAACGGCATTTTCCTCAAGTGTGCAATTGCATCAAGAAAGCACAACAATGACATAAGTGACAAAACAATGACTTGGCTCTTCGCTCTTCACCCATACAAGCGCTGTACAGTATTATAAAATATAGAAACACGATAAAACAATAAATATGTTTCAGTGTTTCAGAAATCAACTGCTTTTGTAAAGTAAATTAAATGTCTCACTCCCCCCCTGACCCACACACACACTCACACACACACACACACACACACGCACACATACACACACACACAAACACTGTAGTATTCTTGTGTTGACAAGTGCCTTTATAGGGTGTGACCTGGCTTTCATGTAGCTGTGCAGCGGTACCTTTGCTTACGAACGTCTCTTCAAATGAAATTTTCAAGTTACAAAACACCTCAACGGGAAACTGCCTCTTGTTACGAAAGAAATTTCAAGATACAAAAGGTTAAAATACTTTTGTAAAGTGTCCTTGAGTGTTTTGAAAGGCGCTTATAAATGAAATGTATTATTATTATTATTATTATTATTAATATGGGCTGCTACTCGCACCTCCGAGTTTCCTGAATGCAACATACATGTAGCTGCTCTGCCATTGGCTATTACTGAGCATCATCCTGGCATCCCATTGGCTAAGAGGGACCTCCACCGTATGTGTCTATGTGTGTAGATCGATAAGATAGATACAGTGGTACCTCTACTTACTAAATTAATTGGTTCTGGAAGAAATTTCTGAACAAGAACAGTTTGTAAGTAGAGACGCGTTTTCCATGTAAATGCCCTAATCCGTTCCAAGCCTCCCCAAAATTCAGACATAAATGTTTTCTAGTTAAGAAGTTTCTTCCAGGGCACATTCATTTTGTAAATAGAGGTACCACTGTACCGAATGCTGACTCGAAATCCTCAACTTGAAATGTATGTACTGTAATCCCTTTAATGGAGTGCGAGACAAAGTAGAACATCAAAAATATCGGCGATTGTCATGTTTGCATTTTTCCTCACAAACTGATCAATGTGTGGTCAGAAAAAAAATAGAGCTATTTTAATGTCTAATTTTCACAAAATCACACTGAAGTCGCCAACCAGATGGGACGCAGGCGTTGAGATGTGCTCTTCAGGCCGCGGCATGACATGACATGCATAGCATCTCATTAGACGTGACCGCTTCAGTGAGCGACAAGCGTGACATGAGTTTATCCGCAGGCGCTCAAGGACTCAACCGAACGATGTTAGATTGTTTTCGTTCGGGATTTTAGCCCGAGCGTATTCCTGCTTGTGTCACAGTGTGTGGTGACGCTAGAGTCTTACGTGCAACTAACTCCGAGTGTATTCTTCTCTCAAAAACAGCCCCCCTTTTGATGCTAATACACCTTTTGGACTAATTGCTGCAGAAACAACAAAGAAAAAGCTGTTTACCGATCTGATAAAATACTTCTCAAAGATTTACAGGTGCTAGCAAGGGGGCGCTAATCAGAGCCGAGTAGGACTTGAGTAACTTTGAAAATTATATTTCCCGAAATGTGTGTCTACGCTTACTCCGAGTTACATTGCACTCGCTGCTTTTGTTTGGATTGCCGCAATGTTGACGCGCACAGTTTGGAAAGAGGCTCATCGGCCGCTCAAGCAACAACCAGCAGCAAATTCATAATGAGCTCATCGTTAGCGGTAAACACAACACCGCGGTCACTAAACAAAACACTGTTTTAACTTCGGGTAAAACCAAATGATGCACTGGAATATAAAACACACACATAACTGTTAATACACTACAGGGAAAAATAAACGCCTACAGTATCATGAACGATAAAATAAGTAATTAGCCGAGACTGTTTACGATCGCCGCAAAGCATTGGCGGAATCTCATTTCTTCGTTTGCAACGTCCTTGGTCCTCAGCCCTCTGTTTGCATGTTAGTGCTTCTTGCCAGAATGAAAAGTCCTGCTCTGTTTGTGCTCCTGTCACCCTTCACTCCCACACCTAACCCTTTACTCCTTTTGCCCCAACTCCTAAACCTTCACTATCCCATCACACTCCAGCGTTCTGTTTGTGTGTGGAATGAAACCTCATTAAATTGTGCACGTGTACATAATATTGCGGCCAGTGAGTAGTAAACTAAGGCTCTGTTCACACTAGAGATCGATTCCAATTTTTCGCCTATTTGCAACACGTAACTCATTTTGATCATACGGCGATTTTTTTTTTTTTCCAGATCCGACCCAGGCCTCTTTCGTATGCGGGTATAAATCGGATATGCATGCGATGCGTCTGCAGTATGAATGTTCATCCGCGCAATGTTAGCAAAAGCCTAATGTGCGCTTCCAAATGGCAATGACGTGACGTCATTTTTAGTTGAAGCTTCCATGAAATATACCCCAAATATTTCTACTTTCTCCCGCCTCACATCCCTGCCGATATGAGATCATAAAATGGGGCTGACAAGCGCCCGTATTTACTTCTGTAAACACTGCGCCGCCTGATTTTTTTTTTTTTTGGGTGGATGTTACTTGTCGTCCTACTTTGTGCGCATGCGTGTCACATCACAGACGCGTTAAATTCACATTAGATGTCGCATTTGTTTTCGTTACGCGAACGACTACATAAAAATAGCGGATTTACCAAATCATCCGAATTGGTCATTGTGCCTTGTAGTGTGCGATTACAATTAAAAGCGAAGTCGCTTTTATCTGCGGGCATTTTGGACGGGGGAGAAAATGAAGAAAAACAGCTAGTGACGTTTGACACAGTGTGCATTCAAACCAGCCGAATAACAAATCGTCCTCAACCTGCTGATTTGAAGGATTCTATAAAAGCTCTCAAAGAACCGCAGTGGGGCCGGAGCTGTGGAATTTGTTTCCTGTGCACAATCAGCACGCAGAGAGCGGCGGTAATTAAGGAGCAGTGCCCCACATGGATCCCATCCGGCAAAGCAGGATTTTAATTCCCAGCTAATTGAGGCTATGACAGGGATGACGCTGGGAGGGACCGGAAGTCCTGCCGCTCGAGAGACCGTCGGACGGGGTGATTTGTAAAGCTTTAGTGAAGGTAACCGGGAATCTGAAACCGACCAGACGCACACCTGAGCCCTTCTGTGTCGCCATCCCACAGCTCACCGAAGGAAGTCGGGCAAACATTCCGGTTTTAGCTCGTCTTTAATGGCAGCCGCCGGCGGGTGGCAGAGGAAGAGAGTTGTTTGATTGATTTGCTTCATTTGAATTCGGATCTCGCCTGTGATCGGCGTCGACAGGTTCACACGACCGCAAAGAGAATAAAAGACGCAGAGAGAGAGAAGTATATTTAGAATTTTCCGGGCTCCTGCATGTGCTGAAGTCTAATTAAGGCAGCCGTTTGTTAAAAAGGTCTTTTCTTCATCCTCATCATCATCATCATCATCACAATGATATTATAGTCGCTTCTTCTCAATCACCGTGATCTAACTGCTGCTCGAATATGATTGCGTAGTGTGACTTGGCATCACCCACTCTCGTGCGCACTGCGTCGGTATCCTGCAAACTGTAATGAAGTCATGTAAGGGTTCGGGGTCGGGTTCAGGTAAACTTCAAGGAAGGTGAGGGCTAAGGTTAGGGGTTATGGGTTCGTATCAGGGTTGGGGTTAGCGTTTGGACTGACAGAGGTAAGTAATGGTTTGGGAAATGTGAGTTTTTTTTTAAAGTGCTTTTGGGGATTGTTGTTGTCGGCAAGAGCCCGTGTGACATTCACTCCAAGCTGGCAGAGTTAACCGAGGTGAAAGGTACTTTGAGATCTGTATTATTCTTATCTGTTCATCTCTTCTCTTTTCTTTTGAATCCACAAGAGGCGAGAACAAACGCAAACTGACCGCTGCGCTTGGAAATCTGCATAGCAGCTGCTGTTAAGGCCGCACCAGCTTTGACGCTCTTTGAGGTAAGAGCCATCAAGTTGCATATTTATGTGCATTCATCTACTCTCTTTGTTGTGAAAGTGTGATCTAACATCTATTGTGTTGGGATTGTGTCGTTCTGGCGTTTGCGTTGGAGGCCAGAGGAGAAAAAGCGCCTTAAAAAAAAAAAAAAAAAAAAAAGAGGATCCCATGGGTGAACAGTGCCCCCTAGTGGACGTATCATGAATGTAACCAGATCGGTCTTCCATACTTTTGGCGGTTTAAGGCACGTCATGTCATTTCAAAGGCGGACTCAGCCCACGCTTGTGTGTCTGTGTGTCCCGACGTGAATAAATTGATGGCAAGCAAAAGCGCAGTGGCTCCCAGGAAGAGGAGGAGGAGGGTGGGACAAAACATCGACACGGGAGAACAGATGAGCGTCTCGGCGTTACTCTCATTAATTCACCAACAACAAGAGCGAGGACGGGTAAGACTCAAAGACGACGAGGACAGGGCGGGGGGGGGGGGGCCCGGGGGAA